CCACCTTCCTGGAAAAGCGGCTGTGCCCTCAGATACCGAGATGGTCCACTCACCGCTGTGATATCCCGTTTCCGAACAGGGACAGCTGACGGGTATAGAGTCTTAGTTAACCGTCTGAGAACCAAGAGTAACTCTGCAATTGCTTTTCTCATGTCTGTCTTGCGTTTGCACCTGGCCTGTGTAGATTCCTGTTTATCTTTGTTTCAGCAGCATCTCTTCCTTTCTCGGTTCTTCTCTATCACCGCATGCTCATTCCTCTTTGTATGCCAGGCGTGTGCTTTGATTTGTACGCCCTTTTTCTCGCAACGACACTAGCCATGGTTTTAAATATCGCTCATGTGGACAGTGTCCCAGCCATGCATTCTTTCCAGGTTCTTTCAGGTACTGAAATAATCCTCTAAAATGAAGGAAAAAAATTAATTCTGTTCTAATTTTCTTAAAAGGCGATATCTCGTCTATTTGTTTTATGTGTCTGTTACAAACATTATTTAAATTAATACAACTTAGAAACTACCTAAATATGATTAAGAAAATTATAATGTATTTGCTTCATGGCATTTACTCAGTCATTAAAATTATGTGTATGAAGACTGTGTAGCCACTTGGGAAAACTACACAGAATAACACTGATTTGGCAATATATGTATGTTCATTTTTTTTTAATTTTGTTTTATTGCTTAAAGAGTATTACATATGTCTCCTTCCCCCCCCCTTGACATTCATATGTATGATCTTATTATAGCTAGTTTAAAAATATATAGATAGATAAACAGATAAAAATTGGAAGGGACCATGGAGAAATGTAATAGCTTTTACAATTGTGATTTTTTTGTCTAATTTCTTCATATAAAGTGGTTTTAAGGCAAAATATACTTAATGTTGACATTGTTTAGCATCATAAGCAGACTTTTATAATTGATTTGAATGCTTCGTTTTGTTTTTCTGTTGTGCGGCTGAGAGTCCTTGCGTGACCCTCTAGCTCCAGGTTTTCCATCCTTGCATACCTCCAGGTTTTATGGTTTCCTAACCACGGCTGAGTGTCCACATTGCATAATTGTGCAAATCACACAATGACCTTCAGTTTCTGGCTTCACTTTTCCATAGTTCCCATTGCCCCAAACAGAAGAATTGATTCATGTTAATCTTTAACATACACATATTCAATACTTATATTGTGGCAGGCGCATTGCTGGGTGTTATAAACCAGTGAGGCTTAATCCCGCTCCTCAAGGCATTTACAGACCCAGGGGTGGAGGCCCAAGAAATGAAGCCATGAGTACTTTGGCATATGCTGTGATAGGATTGAGAGAGGGTACATGGGAATGGTGCCCACCAGGGCCCAAGATGTCTTTCTAGAGGTCACCTGAGTGAGACGTGGAGTTCAGTGGCATTGGGGGTGGGGGGTGGGGGGGGGGTCATGATTTATCTGGAGAACTGCAATTGGTTCAGTATGGCCAGAGATGAAAGCTTTGAGTAGGGGAACAGCCCTTAGGCCACATTAAGAAATTTGGACTCTCCCTGAGGGTGGAGTCTATTCAATGGCTATTGAAGGGTTGCTGTTTGTTTTTAGTTATCTTTTAGCAAGAAAAGTGATATACTCAGCATTGCATTTTAGAGTGTTGGGCTGGCTTTAGAGAACAGTGTGGAGAGAAGGCTAGAGGAGGAAAACCAGTTAAAACACTGTTGCTGCAATCCAGGTGAGCAGTGGTATCCCGAGCTAGAGTATATGGCAGGCGGGGGAAGAGTGGACAGTTTCCAGAGAAATGGATGAGGTAAGATCAACGGAAATTAACAGTAAGAATGAGGATTAGGGAGGAAAAATTCGAAAAGGATGCCCGAGTCTCAGGCTTAAGCAAGTAGGCATGTGGAACCTGGCTCTTGGCACTTATCTGTTCCTTTGGTTGAAGGAGGCAATAGAGCAGCATGGTGGATGTGTGTGTGTTGGGGAGGGGGTGTTGGCTGGCAAGGGAAGAAGGCAGTTGCGTTTGGAGTGCGGCGAGTGTGTCCCTTTGGGTACAGAGGTGTGGTGGGCAGCTGAACATGTTTTGAGCACAAGGGAGCTGTCACCCACGTCTATTGGATTTGAGATCAGTGTCATACTTCTGTGTGGGAGACACATGCGAGAGCTTCAGTAGTAAATGTGTTTACCCTGAGGATTCTGCTGGCAACAGTCGTCTTTGGAATTCCAAGTGCCAGCAGCACAGCTGCTAAACGTCACTCTTCCGATTGAAGTGTTTCCTAGCGGTTGCATTCAGGGCGCGTGTCCTCTTTGTTCTTTACTGCTGGTGCTGGGCTGTTCATGAAATCCTTGGGAACCCAGCCTGACCCCATCCAGTGGTACAGCTTTCCTATAGTAATCCCGCTCCTTCCTACCTGGTGTCTTAATGTACAAGAAAAGGGACTTTAGGAACTGTGCCTCAGGGAGAAATCCAAAGGCAGAGCCCATTACAACAAACGTACCCATTATGACAAACACTTCGTTGAGAGCTGGAGAAAATAATTGTCACTTAAATTGTTGAATGGCTACTTGAACTTGACTTTTTTTAATGGCAAAGTCTGCTTCTTCCAAATCAGCATAGGATGTGGCTGTGCAGGCCTGAGAGAAAGTGATCTGCTCCTGCTGGTTGGGAGTAGGCGGTGGAGGAATAGGGGGCAGGAGAAATGGGAGTATGTAACGCAGTGGTGTTCAGACATTTTGAAAATCTATATCCATGGTGATCACAACACACTAAATTTATTTCTAGATTCATTTATAGGTTATGACCTAGAGGTTGAAAATACTTATGAAAAATACTCTAGGGATAGCTGACTGGGAATGATTTTATTTCTTCCTTAGAGTTGACTGTATTTCAGAGTATATTATAAGAAATATCATTGGTTGGTCTTTAATTTAGCCCCGGGTGTACTCCACCGAAAATCTCATACAAACCCCATACAACCTCCTAAATATTTTCCTGAGCAAGTCGAACAAAGCTTTCAAAAGCCAAATAAATGCCAGCAGCTGCAGCATCATCTCTACTTATCTGCCACTGCTCCCCCTCCAGTTTGAGTGGCTAATCGAACACTAACTACAGTAATCTGATTTGCATTTTTCCTGTCAAATGTGCCACTCTGTGAATAGCTGAATTAACTTAGTTTTCCTGGAATATGCCCAAATGTTGAGAACTGTTTAGGACCTTTCAAAACCATTTGGTCTGTTAGCTCTGTGTTGAGATAAGCAGAATAAATAAGTCCCTGAAATCAAAGGAAAACTAATTGTAGTACCTCTTTCCAGCTTTGAGTCATCAAAGTTTGACTGTCTCAAGTATGTTCTAATGAGGCTCATTATTTTGTTTGTTCTACTTCTGATCATTCTGAGATAATTTTACATTTGCATTATTAATATCCCTTTCCCCCCAAAAAATTTGTTGACACATCTGTTTATTTTCAAGAAGAAGTTGTTAGCCTCTCCTTTCAAGAACAGAAACTGTGCATGCCCATTGTCACAAGCTGACATGGAAGTATACCCTGGAAAAGCCAAGTCAGGCCCTTTCTCACATATATTTGTCTCCCTACTTAACCTATGTCGAAGATTGGTGTTTATTCTTTAATATCCATCAATGCTTATGTACAATACGCAAATATTCAGATATGTGGTAAATATTTTTATAAAAATAATTCAGACTACCTACATCCTAATATTAACTCGTTTTTAAACTTAATATAATATGGTTTTCTTGCTAATATGTCCAACAGGTGTTATTCTTTTTCACAGCTGCAAAATGTGGATATGCCACAGTTTATCCATTCCCTCCCCCTGTAGATAGGTGTTTCAATTGTTTTGTTTACTTTTTGTCATGATTATAATGCTACAACAAATATCTTTGTAAATATATCTTAAAACTTGTAAATTGTTAGATCAAAAGAGGTGCTCCCTAGGTGTCATAAATAAAGGAGGTGGTCCTTACCAGAAATCGGGGCATGATTCACCTCTTCGCTTCCAGGTTCCACCAGCAGATTGATTTTTACTAGTTGAGTCCCTTTAGCAAGGTGTTGGAAAGAAGACTAGTCAGGAACACTGATTCAGGCCATAATTTTGACTCACGATGCTCTCTCGCTACCCAGCCCTGTCCTGGGCCATTGCTCTTTAACCTAAATCTCTCTGAGTACTGACTGGATCTAGGATTTTTTTTTTTAATCCTCACCCAATGTTCTTTCTTTTATTGATTTTGGAGAGAGAGGAAAGGAGATAAAAAGAGAGAAACATTGATGTGAGAGAGAAACGTTGATCTTTTCCCTCCTGGACCAGGAATTGAACTTGCAACCTAAGTATGTGCCCAGACTTGGAATTGAACCCACAACTTTTTTGGTGTATGGGGCAACACTCAACCAACTGAGCCACCTGGCTGGGTGGGTCCGGGGATTTTTGAAAGTAGTTTGCTGACCTCTGTACTCCTTCATGGCAATGATGTAAAAGGACCTCAATCTAGTAAATTTCTGTAGTTCTCAAGCATGAATTCCTAATCTGATCATTTTAGTTCATATTTATCTACCCCAGTGTGATTTTCCACTTCCTCTTGCCCTTTGTTTTGGTTTTGCAGTAAGGAAGGTCTCCATCTTTGAAGCTGGTTATGCCATTGGTCATAGTTGGGTGCGATAGCCTATAAATCCACTGTATACCTTTGCTCAGTTTATACACACCAAGGGCAGAGTTACAATGCTATGTTAGCTATTTTGAGTTACAGACACTAAGTTAGATATTTAGTGTCACTTGGATTTAATTCATTCGGTAATTATACATGTTCTTGCACTATGCTGGCTGTTAGGAATCTAATAGATGGAGGAGCCAAATAGACATGGTGTTTTTCCTTAAGGAATTGAGTCTAGGTTAAGGAGATCTACCAAGAACATTACAATTGATTACATGGAATGTCCATGTTATTTTTATGGGATCCAGTCTTATACATGACTACACTGATGGGGGAGAGTGGAAGGTTAATATTGTTCTAACCGCTGCCCTGCAGGTGCTGGACCTTCCAGCACCACAGACACAGCTGCCGTGCTTCACCTGTGACGTCAGGGCACAGAGGAAGTGGCTATTTCTGCACTCAGTGCTCAGACCAGTGGGCACTAAGAATGGTTTGTAGCATGACATTCCTGGGGGAAAAAGAAAAAATATATATTGTTCTACCCAAAACCCTATGAGATTTTTTTTTAATCTTCATAATTCTGTGTTTATCAATGAACAAATAGATTAAATATTTTTGAAAAAGCAAAGGGGAGATTTTATACTAATGCAACATTAAACATTCTAATACTATAATTAAAAGTAATAAAAAAGGATTTAGCAACATGGTAATGGCTACATATAAGAACAGTAGAGCCGAAACCGGTTTGGCTCAGTGGATAGAGCGTCGGCCTGCGGACTGAAGGGTCCCGGGTTCGATTCCGGTCAAGGGCATGTGCCTGGGTTGCGGGCACATCCCCAGTGGGAGATGTGCGGGAGGCGGCTGATCGATGTTTCTCTCTCATCGATGTTTCTAACTCTCTATCTCTCTCCCTTTCCTCTCTGTAAAAAATCAATAAAATACATTTAAAAAAAAAAAAAAAGAACAGTAGAAAGGGTTTAATTATTCAGTAGTAATAGGATAATACTAAATAAAAACAACAAACTTAGATTTGTAATTTACCTATGCAGTGAAATTCCAGATAAGTAAAGATTAAGATGACTACATTCTTTAAAATCACAATGAAGGAAATGTAGGTAACTATCTGATCTGAGTGGAGAAGGACTTTTTAAACAAGAAGCCAGAGGGAAAGATCTATAAAGGAAAATATTTATTGAGACAACATGAGAATATAAAGCATTGATGTCAGGAAACACTATATAAATTAAAAAGTGAACAGCCAACTGGGAAAGAATATTTGCAATACATATGGGGAAAGGTTAATATCTGTAATACACATCAAACACTAAGAAGTCAGCATCCTGTCAAAATGGGCAAAGAACATGAACAGACGATTTAAAAATAAAGTCACATGTCCAATAGATTTATGAAAAAAATTAACCTTAAATAATCAAGGAAATGAAAACTAAAAGTCATCTTGGAACCATATGGGCAAAAAATATTTAAATGATATATCTATAGTTGTTGAGAATAAAGCAAAACAGATATGGCTGGCAGAATATGCTACAATAGTTTATGGGGGTGGGGAGGCAATCTCTTAGAAGCTTTAGCCAAATAATTCCATTTTCAGGAATTTTTCCTATTGTTCATCATTGCAGCATCATACAACAAAGAAAACTGGTAACATATCCAGTAATTGGTTGTTGGTTAAATTATGGTACATCCAGCATATAGGTAATTATATGCTGGATGTACCATAAGATGGACAGATGGCCTGTCTTGTAGCCTGGTTTTGTCAATATTTAAAAGGTGTGGGGAAAGAGCAAAATCTTATATTTGCCCCCTCCCCCCCGCCTTTTTTTAGAGAGTGGGAGGGAGGGAGGGAGGGAGGGGGAAAGAGAAGAACATCAATGTGAGAGAGACACATCAGTTGGTTGCCTCCTGAACTCAGGACGAACCTGCAACCCAGGTATGTGCCCTTGACCAGTAATCGAACCTGCAACCTTTCTGTGCCCTGGCTGACACTCTACCACTGAGCCACATTGGCCAGGGCACCCCTTCCCCTTTTTATTCAAATAAGGTTACTTAGAAGGGGAAGAGATGTACATGGGAAGTAAATATTTCTCAGTGATAAAGCTGTAGGAAGTAGCTGACCACATACTGTGTGAGAGAAAATGAAGCATATTCCATATCTAGATGAATTGCCGAAGAAGCTAAGTAGTGCAATAACCTCCAAAACCTTACCCAGACTGTGAAATAACTTTAAAGAGGCAATTTTTGACTCCTGAGATGTTGACTCTGGCGGTTTTGTGGTCACCTGGACAGAAGCTGGGCCAGCCAGCTCTGAATTCTGTCTCATTTTTAAGTGGCACTTGGTCATCAGTATTAAGCCAGGTACCTGGATTTTTTGAGTTGAATTATGTTCATGTGGTATGGACTGTCCACGGGTATGTGTCTCTGTTGTCTTCCACTCCTTTTGTGGAGAGAAGTGTCCTATGTGTCCTCATACAGAATCCCTTTCCTAAGTAATTATTCTTTTCTTTCCCAAGACTCCCATAGTGTCTGAAGGTGGTCAACCAGCATTTGGATAGCTTTCCATTTTACTTTTTCTAGATTAAGAAGTTCAACTGATGGGAGGTGGGTCATAGGGGCAGGGAAGGGAGAGAGCCTTTGTTCAGTGAGGCTTCTTAGAACAGTGTCTGGGCTTCCTGGTGTGACAAGCAGATATCTCTGAAGCTCTCTGTGCCTTGAATCCCCACACTTTCTGGAGAATTCCTTCGCCGTAGCTGCTTTTTTCCATGGAGGTTGCCCAGTAATCACTGTGAAATGATATGGAACACAGAGCCACCAACTATGTTTTCTGAGTTAATTGGGTTTGCACCTGTTGCTTAACTGTGCATTTTTGCCCTTGTCAGCTGATTGCCAGAATGAACCTTAGTACACTGGGGGCAGAAATGCGGGCTAATGGGTTCCAGAGTGATGGGACAGCTCTGTATTCTGTGCTTCTTCTTTAGTCATTAGAGTCATGAAAACGGTCCCCTGTGTGATGGGAAGTTATCTTGTGCCCTGCTGCAGTTATGCTCTGAAGAACCTGTCTCAGGAACTTCCTTGTTGACATGCGCAGTTGTGAGTTAGAGGTTTTGTGTTGAAGACCATCTGAGTGAGCTTCCAGGAATTCCTGTTCTGTGATTTGATGAGGTCATGGCCAAACACCCCTGAAAAACAGAAACGGTTCACAAGAGCATCCAGCATGTTTGAAACCAAAGCTTGAGACACTCATCCCCAGCACTTGGGAGGAGTCTCAGTTCAGGATGCGTTCAGGATGCAGAAATCCTGACATTGGGAGCCAACATTCACTCTTTACTTTCTGAGACTCTCACTAGTATAAAGATGTTGAGAGTGACCTGGCAATATGTGGGTCCTAACCCCCCAATTTCAGGTCTTGTCCTTAAAGATCAGCTCCTCAGGGCTTCTGTGCGGGAGCAGAACACTGAGAGGTACTTGCTCATCCTGCATTGTTGGCCCCATCAGCAAAGAGAACGCAGTCCGTAATGTGACTTTTTGTCTAACTTTATAAAGTGTGTTAGAGATTAACACACAATTTTAAGGACTCAAGTAAGGGGAGCTGTAAAAGTCAGTAAGTACCACCTTGAACTGTTATCATGTATTGAAAATAGCATGTTTATAGTGCTTGTAACATGCGGCACTTATATAAACATTTCCCCATCTCCCCAGTATCCCTGGAAAGTGAATAGGGTAGATATTAACTTCCACAGAACAGATAAAGCAGCAGGAGTGGGTGGGGGCATGCAGAGATTGGGCCCTGAGGTACTTTCATTACAGGCACACACACACAAGCAGCCGAGCTTCCCATCATTCCTGTGGTGGTGGTTTGTCAGAAATTTTCAGAAATGTGGCTTCTTGCCCGGGAGATGGGAAAAGGGGGTATTGCTCAGTTCTATAAGAAAAGGATGTTTGTTTCTGCCACAAAGTAGAAATGAAGTCCATTGAAGAAAAGGATAAAAGAAGTAATGGAACTAGGTACATCCTACAGCTCTACTTGCCCTTGTTTAAAAGAAGTAATTGCTGGGAAGAAAGAAAAAATTTTAATATAGACACATTTGTTACTTTCTCTCCATGAACACCAGACCTACTGATGATCTTGTCCTTTAAAAAATAATAATAAAGCCACTTGTGCATCTTATTAAAAATCCTAAGAATTTTACATTGGAGTTGAAACGTGGGGGATCCATCTAATTCTACATAGTAGTTATGGCTGAGGTATCATGTACTTGCCGTGCCCAGAAGAAGGTACTTTACTTAACCGAAGTGAAGTTGGGCAATGCATAAATGCTGGAGCGGAATAAAAACATATCATTTATGCTGATCTTCCAAGCAGTGCCCTTTTCTGAATTGCCTCTTGCTGCTTGAATAGCTACTATTACGAGGCATTTTGTTTTCAAGACAGTCCTCTGATTGTTCCGCACTCTCACAGCAGCGCCTGGCGGCAGAGCTTTCTATTTTCTTCCCAGGTCATCCCACCCCAGTTCAAAAGGTGACCCGTCACGGGGAAGAGGGCAAGTCGATGCATTTTAAGAAACCACCCTTGTGTCTCCCCATGGCCAGAAGGTGACCAGCAATGAGTTTCTGAACTTGAACATTAACCCCTTTCTTTGCTCTGTACCTGAGCAGTTTGACTGAGTCTGAAAAGGGCATTCTTTTGCCAGAACAGCCTCCAGCTATTTCTCATGCCACAGCTCAGCTCCGCCCAATTATCTAAGCTTGAGTGCTCCTGACAGTGCCGGGTTGGGAGGGTGTGGGGATATCATTACAGGAGAGGATGCAAGGTGAAGGCTTTGACACATTTAGGTACAGAAATGGTGCTGCAAGGAGAAGTCTTTCAAAGGGTCCATGGTTGTTGTTGTTTTTTTTTCTTGACCTATAATGCTAATTTAATTATCTTCTCTTTATTTTCCTTCTGGGTTTCTTGGCTTCCTTCAGAATTAATGGCTGCCTCCATGCATACGGCCTACCCATTCTATTTCCCCTTTCCTCCTACCTTTGATTTTTTTCCTCTTCCCTTCTTAGCCACAACACAGTAAGAGTGATGCAGGTCATTGTCTCCTCTTCCCCTCTCCCCAGGTCAAAGGGCAGGCATCTGGGACAGTGGCGGTTCCAATATTTCTATGCAGGCAGATGCTCTGGGAAGGGGGAGACAGGAGGGGCTTGTCTTAAAGCTCTGCCTGCTTAGCCAACACAGTCTTTACACCAATTGGTTGCTTCTACTGAATGCCTACAGGAGCAGTCGTGGATATAATGGGCTGAAGCCTGCCTAAGATGTTGCTGCTGATCTAGCCCGAATCCAGGGGCTCTTTGCACTACAGACTGTAAGGGGCAAAATGCAGTCCATGAAATTAGCCTTGCTACGAGTCTTTTGCCCTGCCTGCTTCCCCAACTCCACTCACCCACCAATCTATTTGCCCTCTTTTCTGCCACCGCCACCTACCAGGTGGGCTTAATAAAAACATA